TCTCTGATGGAGAAGCAGACCCAAAGAGTTACACCAGCAATCTTTATTTATATATTTTATTATGAGGCTAAAGATTATGCAAGCATTATTCTTTGTAATCAGAAAGTTACAAGGCTAGAAACATTTATGTAGATTTTTTTTTTTACAATTTCAGTTTACATTTGCAATGTGCAATGTTAGGAGCTTTGTATTACCCTCAAGAAAGTCTATTGTTTAAAGTTACTGTTAAGCAGGTAGCTTCAGAAATAGTGGTACTGGTGAAACATTGTGGTTGTCTAGGAGGAGAGTTCCTCTATTCCCAGGAAGTATGTGCCTAAAATCAATGTCAAGGCTGATAAGACTCTTCCACAGATCCTTCTCATACAGGGCATTGCCACAGCAGATAGGCATTCTGTACCCTTGCACAGGAACATTTCCAGCCATTAGGCTTGCCACAGCCATGAGGTCATTAGAGACCCCAATCTCAGACACTGCTCTCCCTATATCTGTTACCACTTTTTACAATGAGATCCTAGAGATGCTGCTGTCCACACAAAGGGTTTCACTAATAGCTGTCATGATTGTGTCTCCTGAGTGCTGCTACTTCCCAATTGTTACTTGAGATCTGCAACTAATATAAAGCACCCAGTAGGCCAGGAGACAACTGGGATTCCAAGATATTCTGCATTCTACTGCAGGTGGGTGTCTTTTGCTAAAGAAAAGAAAACAGGAGAGTTAATGACATTTTATCTCAGTGGTTGTATCCCCTCAAAGGCAGGCCATCTATCTCCTGAGGTCAGATCTAAAGCCAACAGCTCTCATACTTCCCTGTGTCCCAGAATCATCTGCATGACTCACCTACACAGAGACTGCCAGGCCAAAGCCTAGAGAGTCTGTTGAGAAATTGGTGTTAGGGCCCATGAATGTGCATTTCTAATAAGCCCCAGATGCTATAGTTGCTATGAAGCCAGGTACCAGTCCTTGAAAACCACCCTCTGGGCTCAGGGTGTGTCAAACTGCTTTCTTCCCTCCTACCCTTGTGTTTCAGGGAACTGTGGGAGAAGAAGGAAGGTGGCAGTTGCAGCTTATGCAGCAACAATCATCCTCTGTGGCATCAAGACCCAGCTGCCATTCAAGACAAGTGAACAAGGTTAAAGAGATGAGGAACCAGGCAACCTTTCTCCCAATTCCAAATATGTAGTTCAGTCTGGTGTGGCGGTGTGATGCCAGCTTGTCCACTTCACTTTCAAAGTCCAGTTGCTGAGAGTTTGCCTGCATAGCCCACAACACAGCCGTCAAACAAGAGGTAAAGGCAACTGCAGATGCACACAGAGAACCTGTGGAACATCAGTGAATGAGCTTCACAAGGCACAGTCTCTCCAGTGACTTTGCAGAAGTGACCATAGCAAGCCAGGGAAGGGGACGCTAGAGAGCCCTGGTGGAGACAGAGAACAAAGTCTTCTCAGTGCACGTTCTTGGCTGCTRCTGGTAGGGCCTCATCTGAAACGGGAGGTGAGGCTGCCAGTCCCAAATGCAGACAGTTGTGCTGCAGSTARCTTCAAAGAACACCCATGCCTCTTTACCCTAGAAAACTTGCCCCTCTAAGGACACGAAAAGCAGCCTTTAAAGTTCTACTTCTTTCTACACCTAGGCCCAAAGAGGGGAAAAAATCCAGTAAAATGCCGGGAYTAAGAACACAGGAAGTTGCAGAATGGTTTTGGTAAACTTGAGGGGAGCTGCTATGGCTGCTGGGAAAGTCTCTGAAGAGCTGGACTATGGTTACATACTGTGCCTGGTATCGTCAGGAGAGAGGACATGTTCATTTCTTTTCTCGATACGTTTCCTCTGCAGGTCATCTGGGGCTCTGTTCATCCTCACTCCAGGACCCAGACTGAGGGAACAGCTACTGTCTGGGCTTTGCTCACGTGGTGGCAGAGGGAAACGAAGAGTGACAAACTGCATGGAAAGACGTAGAGCTTTTGCCTAGAAGTATCTTGTCACTGGCTATCATGAGTTGAATTCCTGTCCACCCAGAATGTCACAATGTGATTTTACTGGGAAATAAGGACCTTAACAGGGAGTTACGGATCTCAAAATGAAATCTCTAAATTCAGAGACTAGTGTGCCTTTATGAAAAGGAGAGGACATAGAGACAGACAGGCTGAACCTGTGCAGACAGAGGAAGACTGGAGTGAGGCATACCAAGTTGGGAGCACCAAGCTTGCCAGCATCCAGCAGAGGTGAGACAGAAGGCAGGAAGGATTCTTTCCATGGCCCTGTTGACACCTCCARCCTCTGCAACTGTGAGAGAATAATCTTCTCTTGGTTTAAGCCTCTCACTTATGGTAATTTGTTTAGGCAGCTATACACAATTGTCAAAGCAAGACACAGTCACATGCAGTCTCTAATGGTGTAGGGACAGTCCTGCAGGGCTGGATGGTCTCCTTCAGATCTGCTCTCCATCCTCCCAT